TTGGGACTGGCCAAACTCGCCCTGGGCAAAAGGGAATTCGGGGTGGGGGCTTAGATCATTTTTAAAGACAGAGGACCCAAATTTTCTAAGCTTCCAGCTCTCTGTAGGTCCCCTCGGCTGAAATCTCGCCTTCCTGCCTCTCCTTCCTCTCTCCCTGGGCGTCCGGGTCCTGCCACGACATGCAGACTCAGCCCAAAACCCTCACTTTTTCTTTTAATGTCTCACCTGGTAAATTGGCCGTGTTCCTAAAAATCTGCACCTGGGCTCTTTTATATGTGTCTTTCTGCACACCTTTTGTGCCTTTTCGGTTGGCCTGCGAATGGGTCTGACATGGCGTCAGTGACAGGATTGGGGCCAGGGCTGCCTAGCGAGAAGCTTGCCCCTGGAAAAGGCCTGTTGGAAAAGAGAGATGATCTTGTTCTTTTCTTGGCAGAGAGTGACCCAGGTCTTTGGGGAGAATGGAGATCTCTTCTCACCCGTTCCACCTTCTGGAACAACTCAACGAGCAGCGCCGGCAGGACTTGTTCTGTGACTGCAACATCCTGGTCGAAGGGAAGGTCTTCAAGGCCCACCGGAATGTCCTCTTTGCCAGCAGCGGCTACTTCAAGATGCTCCTCTCTCAGGGCGCCAAGGAGAGCAACCAGCCCACCACCGCCACCTTCCAGGCGTTTTCCCCCGAGACGTTCTCCGTGATTCTGGATTTTGTCTATTCCGGGAAGCTCTCCCTCACGGGCCAGAACGTGATCGAGGTCATGTCGGCGGCCAGTTACCTGCAGATGACGGACGTCATCAGCGTTTGCAAGACGTTCATTAAGTCTTCCCTGGATATCAGCGAGAAGGAGAAGGACCGGTATTTTAGCCTCTCGGACAAGGAGGTGAACTCGAACGGCGTGGAGCGCCAGTGCCTCTACAGCGCCGGCTGGAGAGCGGAGAGCAGCCCCCCTCAGTCTCACCTGAGCCCCGATCAAGGCACGTGCATCGTCAGCGGGAACTCTTGGGCCAATTTTAGCTATTACCCGGCTTCTCAGAGAAACGCCCAGCCTCTCGCCAAGCACGACCAACGGTCGGACCCCATGAAGAAGAGCAGCCGGCACGCAGGACTGCCTCAGCCCCTGGACGTCCCTCCCTACAAATCGAGCAAACTCGAAAACCGAGCTTTGGAGCCCGCCAGCCACCCGAGTCACTCCGAAGAGGACGTCCAGATTGATTCGGAAGGCGATTCCGGCCCGGCCGGCTACCCGTTCGGCCAGGGGTCGGATGCTGTCGTCAGGGGCCTGGCCGTCTCTCAGCAAGAACTGGATTCGCCTCATCCTGCGGGCAAGTCAAAGTCCTCCAAAGTGGACGACCAGTACAGCAGCATGCCCTCCGTACTGAGCGTGATGGGAAACTGGGTGGACGGTAAGGGTTTCTGTTCCGTGTAGATTGTGCAGCCTCTGTTGTGTAGAACGTGACCCTCTGACTGCATGGAGGTGATCACTAAGCAACCGCCGCAGTGAACTGAGAAAGGGAAAACCGGAAGCTTTTTGGTGCATGATTTATTGTTTGAGAATAGGATTCCCGTCCTTGCAGGAGAAAGTTGTGATGAGCCTAAGGATGCCCCCAAGCATGTTTTGAATATCTGGTGCAGTGCTGCCTAAACTTGGGTAACCCAGCGGTTCTTGGACTGCAACTCCCAGAAACCCCGGCCAGCTCAGTACTGGGTGCAAAACTGCCATAAATTAGCCAGTGACAGTCCGTGTGCTTCCAGATAAGACTTGAAAATGTGTCAACGTCAGAGGGCAGGCAGGGGTGTCTTTTTTCCTTACGTTGCAGGCAGGAAAGATTGTAGTGTCTTGTAGAGGCCATTAATGTACCATGAAAAGATGAAGCAGAATAAGTCACAGAATTCTAGAATAACAGAGTCCGAAGGGGGCCTCTTAAGGCCATCTAGTCCAACTCCCTGCTCAAGGCAGGAATGCAGATCAAAGCAGATCGGACAGAGGGTTGTCCCATTTTCTCTTGATTGCCTCCAGTCTTGGAGCACTCACCACCTCCCCATGAAGTCACTGGTTCCTTTGTTGTACTGCTCTAACAGTTAGAAAGATTTTTTTTTCCTGAGATTCAGCATAAATCTGGTTTCTTTTAACTTGGGCCCATAAATGCATGGGCCCAAATCCTATCGCAAAGAGCAGTGAATATACAAGGGTGATTGCTGTGAGGTTCCCTCTTCCCTGACAAACTGTCCTTTGCACCATCAGTCATGAATCCAGTTTCTCCAGCACCACATAACTAAGCATACAAAGCGCCGACCCGCCAGAATTGGGGGAAACCACTTGCATGTTTTCCTGACAAATGCCTGGCCCCGCTGACGTACTTTATCAATGTAATGTGTGCTCCTGGCAGAATTTATAGAGATGTACACACACTCCCCAGAAACGCCTTGGTATTCCCAGCCTCAGGGAATCTGCTGTTTTCTGTTGCTCAAAAGCCCTGCTGGACCGCGGACCCCCTTTGCAGCCATTTAAAGGGTTTGTTTTGCCCTTACAGACGATCTGCCGAGGATGAGGTTCAAGTGCCCATTCTGCACGCACGTGGTCAAGCGGAAAGCGGACCTGAAGCGCCACCTTCGCTGCCATACGGGAGAGCGGCCGTACCCCTGTGAGGCGTGCGGGAAGAGATTCAGCCGGCTGGATCACTTGAGCAGCCACTTCCGAACGGTGCGTGATATTACGGCCTGCTTTGCCGTAAGACGTCTCAGGATGTTAGGAACCAAACCCCCCACCTCAATGTCAGTTGAATGTACTGTTCAGTTTCCTCACAGCGCCTGGTTCTCACCTACCTGAAGTGTTAGAGGGGACAGAGCTTGAAATTAAATGATAAAAGTTACTAAAATACGGGCAGCCCCAGGAAAGTGCTTTGGAATCCTTTTGATTTTAGTGGAAGAGGCAGCCGTGTACTTAACGCATTTTCGACAGGAAACAGAGGGACGTCAACGTGATTAAATGCGGCTGGATTTTGCTCTGTATTTTTCCCAGGTTGTTGTTTTCTGAGCACTAGAATCGGAGAATCCGAAAACCTGGAGTTTACACAGCTCAAAAACCTTGCAAGGGAAATGCATAGTTACAGACCGAGGATATCGTAATCACTTTTATATCGTGCCATAAAATGCTGTTCCATCTGTATCAGCCTTACCGTAAGCAACCATTTCCAAAATAAAGAAAAAAATGTTTGCTTAACGGTGATGTGAAGAAATTGGGTGCTCCGACCAACTGTGATGTTCATGATTATTCATTTAAAATATTTAAAATATTTTTATGCTCTGTTTCTCTGAAGAGGGCCTGATCCAGTTGCACCTTGCTACGCTAAGCAGCAGGATTTCAGCCACTGTACCCCATGTCAGTGCTTGTACACGTGTGTGTGGTGCCCACTATTTTTACTCTTTTTGTGCAAAACTGGGTTGGCATTTTTAATGCCTTTTATGCACCATTTTTCCTACAAAATCAGAAACATGGTCACCATGTGTTAGCCCCTTGCAAATAGCCTTTTCCTTGGGTTCGGCTACTCTCATGGCTGTGAGTTTTGGGGGGAGAGACTTGCAGTTTCAAGACATGAGTTGATTTAGAATATCTTTAACTCTTCCCCTAAAGCAATGGTCTTTCAATCCTGATGCTAGCACCAGTCTTCTATTGACTTAGCTGGATTTCCTGTAAGGCAGAGTGAGGTTCCTATATTAGGGAGCAGACTTGGGAGGGTGGGTGTGAACCGGATTGATGCTCCATCTCCCACTTCTTGAAACCCACCTCCAGCCTCTCTCCCCCTCCCCCTCTTATTCAGCGCATGTGTAGTGCTGCCTTCCGCTCCTTTTCCAGGACTGGGGCCGGCTTAGTGCCAGAAGCTATTTGCTATTTTGATTTACTAGAAATCAGAGTGGGAGACTCAGTCGCAGAATGTAGAAAAATGTAAACAGTCTTTATTCTGGTTTAACAATGCTCAATGTGTCACGGTGCGCGGCCTCCTTCAAGAGCTACGTATGAAAACAAATTGTTCATGAGCGCTCCTTCTCACCTCCAGATTCATCAAGCTGGAGCTATGTAAGAAAACAAGTGTTGTTCACGAGTGCTCCTTCTCACCTCCAGATTCATCAAGCTTGCAAGCCCATCTGCCGGAAGTGCAAGCGGCACGTGACCGAGATGACGGGGCAGGTGGTCCAGGAAGGGACGAGACGGTACAGACTTTGCAACGAGTGTCTTTCCGAAGCCGGCATAGACAGCATCCGCATTGACCTTGACACGGAGCCGCCGCCCGAATTCCCGCTGGAAGAAGACAAGGATTCCAGCTGGAATTATGGAGAGGACAACCGATCCGACGTGGAAATTGTAGAGGATGGGTCTACGGATCTGGTCATCCAGCAAGTAGATGACAGTGATGAGGAAGTGGAGGAGAAAGATATAAAGCCAAACATTAGGTAGTTTATGAACGGACAGGACGGGAAGAAAGTTTTCCCCCTTTAACAATGTCATTCCTTTGTCTCGACCACCAACTCCCAGTCGGTCGGTGGTGAACAAACACTTGATTATATAGGCTTTCTATGACGTGCGCTAAACTTGCATGCATTTATGAACATTCCGTTGTGTCTACCTTGAATTTAGTTACTCAAAATATCAATATTTTGTGGGCATAAGGAGAAGCATCCCTCCATGTATAGTGATTCTGAACACTTATTTCCTGAACTGCGGAACTGCGATCATTTTTTTGATAATACTGAAAAGGATTTCTTCTTCTCAAACCTTTTTTCCACTGTTGGGGAGCACTTCAAAATAAAGTTAACAACTTCGTTGTAAGTTACCCTAGTAACGCTTCGGCACAGATGAGGGTTTTGCTTTCAAAAGCCACACTTATAAAAAAGAACAGCATTGTTTAAATGGGCGTGTTTACTCAGAAGGAAACCCCCATGGGGTTCAATGGCACTTTCTCCCAGGTAAGTAAATAGGATTATGGCTTTAGCAGATTGGCCAGTCATGAAAAATCCTGGCCCGCTTTTTGCCTGGCCCTTCTTCCATCCCCTAATGCTGGCGGAACAATGGGGGGGGGGTCGCTAACAGGGGGGAATTAAAACAGCTCATAGCATTTCAAAACAGGCTGCCCAATTTCTTTCTGGTGGGGTGTGGGCAGAGAAGTTCTCAAACGCTACTGATGGTTCACTCTTTGTTCAGATGCTGAAGATGGCCGTTCTTCATCCTTTGCACCCTTATAGGACCGGGTTAAGATGCCGGACTGATCACAGTGGCCTTTCTGCAGCCTTCTGCCGTTAATATGAACTACCAGATAATCTCCCACCTACCTGCTTCCACCTCCTGCCAGCTTCATTCTTCTCTCTTTGCTTCCAGCTAGAATCCTAAATTGGGAATGTTCAAAAACCCCAACCCCAGGTTTATAGCACTTGGGGAGCAGCATTGTTCCCTAGCAAATTCTTCTGCTAAAATTTCGTCTCCGCACTGCTGTTCCTCTTTCTTAGATTTTGCTGCCTGCTTCTCCTACTACCTGGGGGTGTCTATAAAGACCCACAAAGGGGGTAGGAGACCTCGAGATGTCTTTTCTGAATAAAGACAACAGGCTGGTAAGGCCAACCTAGGCAAGAGGTGAGAAACGTGTGAGCAGCCCCACCTGATTTTTAAAAACTGAAATGTTGCTGTAGAGAACTGCAAGTTTTATTGAAACCATGGCAATGAGGATTAACTCTCTTCCTGCAGATAAATGTGTACACACACAGATGTACAACACACCCCTTGTCTACAGCTGCTCCTCTGATCAAATTAACACATGTTCACGTAGCACCCTCTTTGTCATTTCCCTGACCCTCTTCCTAAGAAGGGATTGACTGCATGTGCATTGCCTGCAGTTAACCTAGCTTATCATTTACGACATGATTCTTTCACTGGGGTACCACCATGTTGAACACTGGATGATCAGAGACGGAGATGGACATCCATAGACACGGACCGCCAAAGATGGCAGCTGGGCAGAGCCAGACCAAAAGCAGGCAGAGAGGGGAAAAGGAGAGACCCGAGTTGCCTCGAGTATGGGACAACGACCAAATGCTTTATAGCAATAGTAGTTATTTATTACAGACGTAATAATCATAAAACTTCACAAAGTATCTAAAAATACAGCAATAACAAACCAACAGGAACCAACCATGAGGGAGAACCCACATGGGATGATTGGGGGGGGGGAAGGAGAACTTTTTCCCCCTGAAATTTCTGAACTTTGCAAACAGGCCAAATCACACACACACACACCGTTAAGGATCAGGCCTTCTCTGGAGCTGCACCTCCATTCTGGAGCACCTCTCAAGCTGGTTAATTAGCCCCTTTATGGCTGTCAATAGACAGCGCAGAATTTCCCTTCTGTGCAGCGGTCCATATTTAAAGGCCAAGAGTCGGTTTCCCTTTTCTGGAGGATTCCAGGGCTCTCTTTAAAATAAGGAGTTTCAGATTGCTTTAATATTTGTTTTGTACTCCACTGTTGAGACCTTTACAGACCAAGCGAGGCTCGGGACTATTTAAATGAATAAGAGAAAGAAACAGTGGTTTTATATGCTGCTCCCCCACCCTCCCCCATCACCTTTACAGTAGTTGAAAAAATATTTATTTCCCAGTGCCTGACGTAACGCTCCATGAGAATCCAGCATTAAGCCACTAGCACCCAAGCAGAGATTACAGGCAGCCATGCCAGGCGACTCTTGGTCTTAAATTCATCTTTGAACACAGAAAGTCTTGTTTTGACGTCATGTCCTCCACCATGACACGCCAGCGCTGGCTCTTCCTCAGGAATCACCAGTTGCGCCAGCAAACTGAATTTCCACACCTCGTTGGATTTGGGCACAACATTCCAGGACGATGCGTCTTATGCGTGGGATTGCTTTGGTGCTTCTGGCCAGGGAAGGAGGCCAACGCAATTCTCTTGGTGATCCTTTTCCCCCTTTGTTTAGATATCAATGATGACAAAGACTTCCGGCTTCTCGTCTTCATGGACCTGCATTGCCGAATAAGTTATGGCTTTCACTTCTGTGCCCTGATTGGGAACAAGAAGAGGAACATGGGTTCTAACGTACTCTGGTTTCTCTTCGGATCTTTGGCATGTTGCTAAACTAACATGTCCCTAGGAGTCCCCCGTGAGAAGCGGAATATTCTGGGATGCCGAATGAATACTTTTGCAATGAAACAATCCCGCCCATAAAACGTAGTGCCATTAAGTCTGTGTGAACTACGTTCGTTCACTTCCTTAATGGGTTGATTGGATGTGATGGGAGCCCATCTTTCCCTGCTGTATGCGAGAAACCCAGGCTCAAGCACTCCTCCCGGTGGTTCCTGAGGTTGGGAGTTCGAGTCCCCACTGTGCCTCCTTGTGAGTAGAGACAGCCTGGGTGACCTTGGGCAAGCTGCACGGTCCCAGGGCAACCTCGGCAGAAGGGAAGGGGGGACTACTCATTATTCTATGCCTGGAAAAACCTGGAAAGGCTCACCATCAGTTAAAATTGACTTGATGGGATATAAATATTAAACTAATAACATCACTAAATTAATGTTCATTTCAAATTAACATTTCATATGTCAGCTGTAACGGCACTGCTTCCAAGCTCTGAGGGCTTCCACAGCCCGTTTGGGATGACATTCGCCTATTTATCTCCCATGAAAATATTTCCTCTTATGTTTTTAAGAGGCAACAGAAACTTATTCACTTCAGGAGACCCTGCCTGAAAATATCTGGCATGGAGACAGTACGGGTAAATTCTCTTGGGTATTTGCTATGGGAAATCTTGCTTCAGTTTGTCGGTTAAAACGGTGTGTGGGAGAGCATGCCAGGAAACGGGATATTAAAATTTGTGGTGGGAGACCCAAGAAAGCACGCCGAGTTCTGCCTGATTAATCTCCAGCTCCCCAGGACCTAAGAACCAAAATAATGTCATGGAAGACAGACTTACCTGTGGATGCTTAAGCAGAGAGAATTCCTCTCCCCACCTTAAAAGGAAAAGAACGTAGCTTCAATTAGGAAATCAAGTTAAACATTTTAAAAACAGAAAAAAAAATGCTGTCTTTTTTATAAGAGAGGGAGAAAAATTCAGGGCAATGAAAAGTCCCTTAGAACAGAGGTCCCCAACCCCCGGTCCATGGCTTGAGCTGGACCAGACCGTGGAGACAGACCTCCCCGCAGCCCTGCATGCACTCCCCCCCTGTACAGCCCATCTGTGCCTGCACACCAGCACGCATGCACCCACACGAGCACTGCACCACCCATTGTGCATGTACATAAGCGTGCACGCACCTGCACGAGCGCCCCCCATTCCTTTGTGCATGAGCGCAAGGGGGTGCCCTACTTTCCCCAGCCAGTCCACACAGCTAAAAAGGTTGGGGACCGCTGCCTTAGAACATCCCTTTAGAGTAGCTAGAACAGCCACGAGGGCAGTCCAAATGATCATCTGATGATGTGTCCAGAGAATAACGGTATATAAACTGCTCTGCTCTAAGTCCCCAAGGACACGCACACACACATCCCACAGGGAATGGAGGGCAGCAGTCCAGAGGTTGTCCCAGATGTTCCCACAATGAAATGGGCATGAAGAAGGCCAAGCCACCTCCTGGACTGCCATCCATTCCCTACAGAAGATCTTTAGTTCAACCTGACTTGTTATAGCAGGCAATTGGGCCACAGACAGAAAACAGACAAACCAAGCACTACTGTCAGTGTGGGAGCCAATTTTGGGCAATGGAGGTGGGATTCCCTACAATTGCCCCTCATCACTTCCAAAAATGTGGAACCTTTCACGCAGGGCCACCATCTCTTTCTGCTCCCCGGAGTTTCAGGGCTCCCATTTCAGACAGGACGATTCTGTTTACTCACCCAATAGATCGCACCTTGAATCTGATTCGGTCTATGGACAGCACTTTAATTTCCTGGGAGAAAGAAATGACAATGACTTCTGAAAGGGCATAGCTTCACAAGGTATGTGAAGCTATGCCTAAACTTTTGCACTACACAGTCTTTCTTTTTCTTCGATCATGTTCGTTTCGCACACAACTCAACTTGCAACATAATTCCTGAGTCACCGTCTTCAGATCAACACACTGAAGGCAGATTTTCTACCACCCCCCTGCAGTGAGCGACACGATCGTGGCTCTCCTCTCTCACGTTGGCTATCAAGCCTGGGGAAGTCGACCGTGAAACCAGACAATGGGCTCCCCACTTCGTGGTTTTTAGTTGGCCCTGTTTCTCTCCGGATCTTCTTTGCATCTCATTGACGGTGCCTCCAAAACTAATAGGGTGGATCCAACATCCCGCTTATGCCACAGAGGACGAAGCTGGGGCAAAGGGGGGGGGGAATCCATTTTATTCCATACCTTTGAAAGCAGTAAATACTCACCCTGGGGACGAAAAAGTCTTCTGCACTGAATTTATACAACCACTCGTCCAGAAAATGATAGAGAAGAGACAGCATGTCATGTCCTTTGGAAGAGGAGAGTTAAAGTGAATTTGTGAGTTTCCCATGAGGGAAAGCTTCAGCACCTGCTCCTATAGCCTACGATGCTGTTTTAAAACTCCTGTTTTATAGGTTTCTGAAGAGTAATGTAGCTCAAGCAAGGGTTTAAGGAGAGATCTGGAAACGCTCCTGTGAGGAATGGCTGAAAGCCTCAAGTATACTTCCAGCTGTTTAATTTGGTGGGAAGTGAATGCCTCTCAGATACAGCACCCGACAAAAGTTCTGTATGATAAATAAGGAGGGTAAAATGGAAAGTTGATGACACCACTGTTGGAGAATGTACAGCTTTCTCAGTGACTCTGCTTAGTGAGCGCCAATTAATGGTGCAGCATCTTCCTGGATGAAGGTTATTCCTGCAGGGCTCAATCCTGGCAGCCCTGTCTTAGAACACCATTTATTATGTACACTGGTCAAAAACCTGCCTATTTCTTACTGGAAATTTTATTAATTTTAATTTTAAACCCTGCTTAGTGAGTGTCAATTAATGGCGCAACATCTTCCTGGATGAAGGTCATTCCTGCAGGGCTCAATCCAAGAAGCCCTGTCTTAGAACACCATTTATTATCTACACTGGTCAAAAACTTATTTGTTACTGGAAATTTTATTAATTTTAATTTTATTTCTATGCCATCCATGTCCTCATAGGGTACCCAGGGCAGCTCACAACAGCTAAAACTATACAAGGGTCAGCAGTTTTAAAATACCATATTGATACATATTTTTAAAAAATTAATTTATAAACATTAAAGCCAAGATGAAAAACAATTAAAAAGAAAACTTCTGGAGGGCATCAGTTGGAGAAGCTTGATCCTGGGAGCATCGTCTTACCCTCGGCCTCCACCTCGATGCTGTCCAGAGGTTCTACCGTCTCTGTGTCCGTCATGTACCCAAACATGGCCATGGCGCATTGCTCAAAGGCCTCCTCCAGAGTATCTCCCCAAGCGTGTAACCTAAAGGCAGATCAGAAAGAATACCACACGTGTAGAAAGGAGTATAAGGGTGAAAAACCTGACCTAATATGTGGACAAAAACAATTTCCGCTGCTTACAACAGAAAAAAAGTCCTTTTTAGAATGTCCTTTTTAGACCATATATGCAAAATATGGTGGGTCTCCTTAAAAGGCTCATCATTCTCATTTCTCTGCTCTCTCCTGCTTCTTCTGACCAACTTAGAAATTTAATTAGCAAATGGAAAACCTTTATCCCTTCAGCTCAGCTCAGACAGGCCCATAAACAGGTGTCTCAGTCCTTCAGGAGATGCCATCTTACTTTGCATGCCAAAGGTCCCAGATTCAGCATTGGAAGTACGTCCAGAAATATGGCTCAGAAAGACCCTAATCAGAAATGCTGGAAGGGCTGCCAGTGGAGACAGGATTGAACCTGGATCTGGTTCACTTCCAGGAGGGCAGCTTCTTATATATTTGGTGCACTTAGAAAGATTTGACCTCAGGAGTTTAAACTCTGTGTGCAGAAATAGTCCGGCATGTTCACCAAAACAATTTAGGGCCCAAGGTGCAACTGCTGAAACACGTCAGGAGTAAATGTTTCTCTGAAGAGCAGAGTAAGGAGGACTACACGTTGCATAATGCACAGCTCATCTCTAGTCCTTCCTCTCCCCTCCTTTCACACATTCATTAGATTCTAAATTCACTGAAAAATACTCACTGTACATCTGCGGTGTGATCCAGATCTAGGCGGGATTAAAAACACAGGACAATTATGGGATTATCCATAATTTAAAATAATTTCAAAAGCAGAGCAAGACATTAAAGACAGAGCAGGATCAATTAATAGCCAGAACCTTAAAAAAAATTAACAGTTTGACTAGCAGAATAAAAGTCAAGATAGCATGTATGTAGCTCATGACATCTCCAGACGCTCGCAGTACAAGTCGTACTGGAGCAAGATCTGTTGGCTTTCAAAAAAGAACAAACTAAGAAGTATATTAAGTTCTCTGGAGTAAATTTTCTGCAGAGGTTTTGTTTTGGAAAACAGGGCTGGCCCTGGTCTTCCCAAATTAAACCTCCCCGTCGGGTCTGCGAGAGTCATTCACCAACCCTGAAAGGTCCATTATGGTTTCAGCCAAAATGTCATAAAAACTGTCTTTACAAGCATCTCCCCAGATTTCTGGGCTCTTCCCTCCCACCACCACTCCCAACCAGCCAGGCTCTCCCGGTTCTGGTGAGATTACTTTTGCGTCGGTCCTTCTTTCCCTCCCTGCCTCGGCAGGTCTGGGGCGCAACGCAAAGCAGAGAGGAGAGCCCCCGAAACGACTCTCTCCAACAGCCCATCGCCCAGCCTCTTTCCAAAGTCCCCAAAATGGGCTCGCCCAGCAAGCGGGTTAAAGAAGCCTTCCCTTTCCCGACCCCTTTGCAACACGCGTCGATACTCACACTCGTACTTCTTTTGGAGAGGCGCGTATTTCGCCTTCAGGGCTTTCTGATCTTCGGTCAAGTTATAGTCCCGGTAATTGTCCAACGCCATGACTCGGCCAAGGAAGGCAGGACCCACGGATCCCCCACTTCCTGCTTTGGACACGGTGAGAGATTCCGGCTTGCAACGTGTTTAAAGGGACAGCCGCCTCCCGAGGTGCACGCGCCTGTTCCGTGCGTGTGTGCGCGCGCGCACGCGTTAGGGACGCGCAGAAAGACCCGGGAATATCCAAGAAAAGCAGGCGGGACCGGTGCTTATGCGGTGACGCCTCGTGGCAATAGGTTTCTGCAAGGCAGGCAGGCAGGCAGATGCGGCAGATCTTCTTCTGTGTCTTTTATTCATTTGTACCGACAGGAATTCATCAAGGGAGGCTCCTCTGGACAGCTAGCAAAGGAAAGGGTCCCTGCCTGGCATCATGTGCAGCAAAAGGTACAGAAATGGCACCAGGACTGGGAAAGGGGCCGAGAGCAGTCGGGATCCTTCCCTGTGTCCGGTGGTCATGCAGTAGCATCCCTGCATGTATTTATTATGTCCAAAAACAAAGGACCTCGTGGCATCTTAGAAGACGGACCTATTGGGTGCAAGCTTTTTTTTGGACTCTGGTTCCACCACTTCTTCACATGGATGGTTTCTTTCTACACATCCTGAGCTTCTCTGTCTTTGGTCAGGACATACAAGTGTTTATGCACTCTTTTCTGTGTTCATGTACACACACACACATACACATCTGTGCCCATACGTTTCATATTTTACACCTTAAAGGTTCCCCTTGACATTTAGTCCAGTCATATCTGACTCTAGGGCATGGTGCTCATCCCTGTCTCTAAGTCGTAGAGCCAGCTTTTGTCCGTAGACTGTTTCCGTGGTCACGTGGCCAGCGTGACTAGACATGGAACACGGTTACCTTCCCACTAAGGTGGTACCTATTTACTGTATCTACTCGCATTTGTCGCATGCTTTCGAACTGCTAGGTTGGCAAGAGCTGGGATGAGAGACGGGATCTCCCTCCATTGTGTGGATTCGATCTTACGATGGCTGGTCTTCTGACACTGCAGCACAGTGGCTTCTGTGGTTTAATCTGCAGCGCCACCCACCTTAGGAACAGTCAAAATATTGTAAAAGCAATAAGCAGTTGTCCAGGCTTTCCAGCATTCTTCATTAAGCTAAGATTTTAAGGTCAGAGGAGGGAAAGAACCGTGATATAGGGGCCATAAAGTGTGCATCCCAAACCCCCCTCCATCTTAAAATGGACAGTCAAAAGAGGCCAGAGAATGATGCTCTGATTCTGTGGAGACACGGAGTATTGCAAAGGCGTCTTTCTGCCTGTTTTTACACCCCCAATGCCATTTCCCTATAAAAATTAGATGCACTCTTAGTGGCGCAGCCCTGCTTTAAAACAAGGATGTGTTCTCCAGATACCTTGTTTTAAAGACAAGATGCAGCTTTCGATGATCTGCCGGAAATGATGTTGGTGCCATTGAGAGCAGCGGCTGAACTTTCTGGTCAGCTCAGAGGGTTGCAACCTCCAGGAGGAAGAAGGCCCCTACTGTACATATTTACTTGGAAGTAGGGCACACTAGGTGCAGGAACACTGATTTCTGAATTGACTCTCAGCAAGGGTTGCCATGCTGACTGGATGCACGTTATGCAAATCTCAGGCTGCACCCAGAATCCGTGCAACAAGGTTACGCGGTCACTGAGACCTCGTTTTAAAACACCACATACAGGTTCTCTCTTACAACAAGGCTGAAGCATGGGCATGGTCCTGTTTGCAGAAGTGGAGATGGATTTTACACCACATGCTTGGCAAAAAAGGCCAATGTGATTCCATAATGGAATGAGTCACCTCCTGGAGTGACTGGAACAAATGTTAACTAAAAAGAACCCCAGAAACCCTGTTTCCTTATGGCCGATCTGGTTCCCTTTGCTTTTTATATTCTTTATTTTTATTATTTTAAGGCATCACCTCAACTTTTCCTCCAGAAAAATCTGGGGGATTATTTGTTCCCCATAATCTTTGTGTTCCTTTTTCAAGGCTGAAGCCTTCTGTGCCTCCTGGAGGTGGAAAACTGGTCCACCCCTGTTAATTGGAATTCAAGACCCTTATGAATTTCCCCAACAGACACACGCCAGTCCTTGACAACTGTAATGAGCTCCTCTCTGAAACAGCCCCCCCAAAATATTCCCCTTTTGCAGAGGATGAGACCGCCACATCCCCCTCAAAGGACAACACTGAATGCAGCTAACAATATGTTTTTAAGTATGTTTATTGAATCTCATTTGGACAGGGAAGGCTTTCCACAACTCGCTGAGGAAATGCTTTTCCCCCCTCAGGTTGCTGAAGCAAAAACAAAATGGCGGCCCTCCCCGAGGCTTCCAAAGAGCCAAGGCCCGCCCCCTTCCCCGAGCAAGGGGGCGGAGGAAGAGCGTCAACGCATGCGCACCCATCCCCTCGGCGGCTCCGCACCCCGGCCCGGCCCCCAAGGCCATTTCCGTCCTCCTGATTGGCCGAGGCGGCCGCAGCGGCGTTGGCTGGGATTGGACGGCGTTGGCGCGAACCCCTCGTCGCAGAGCGCGGCGCTCCTGAGGCGAATTGTGAAAGGGGGAGGAGGAAGAGGCGCGCTCGGGAAACAATAGGCGGAGGAGGCCGAGCGCGGGCGGTGCGAGGGAGAGGGGGAGCCGGCGGCCGAGGCCTGAGGTGGATTCGGAAGCCGCGACGTCGCCCGCGCTCCTGAAGAGATTCGGCAACATGGCGGATAAAGAAGGTAAGCGGCGCGGGGCTGCTGGCGGCGATGGCTGCCGCAGGGCGAGGGAGGCTGGCCTAGGTAGGCCTCGCTCCACTCCCACCTTCCTTCCCCCTGCGCGCGGGCCCTGGCGGGCAACGTCTTGCCCAATCCGCTCGCTCGCTGGCCAGGCCCCGCCCCGTTTCCCAGGGCGACGCCCAATGGGGGTGCGCCTCCCTTCCTCCCCTCCGAAGCCATCTTCCTCCGTCGTGGTTCTCGGGCCTGCCCGTCTCTCTTTCCTCCCCCTTTCCTCAGCGGGCGGGGGAGGAGGAGTCCCGGCGGATGCTGGGGGGGGGGAGGGGAAAGCTTCCCCGGTTGGATTTCTGCCCCTCAAGCCGGACTTGGTCCTTGGTTGCCTCTTCCCCGAGAAAGTCAAAACGGCCTATGTGTAATAAAATTAATTTGAACTGTTAATTTCTTAGCTGTGAATCCATTCTGCTAGCTGCTGTTGTTTATTAGAGCTGGATTTCCATGTTATTTTAACCAAGGCACAGATGCAAATAGTTCTGATGCCCTTTGGTTGAAATATATATATGTATTTTTTGTGGGTGGAATGTTATGCATGCCCGTGTAAAGGATCACATAATGCAGATCACAAGCAGGTGTCAGATGTCGAGCAAAAATAATTACTATGTACATAGGAAATGGACAGTACAGTCCTGCACACTGTGAATGCCACTGAATTTGGAAGCTTTTTTCAAGGAAGTGGCCATAGCATGCAGTCTTAGTTCTGTGGTGATCTTGTAGGACTTTTATGGACCCTCAGTAGTAGCACTTTGAGAATCTGTGGTTACTCAGTGCAGTTTGAGCATGGAAAAATTCCAGTGTGTAGAACAATATTTTCCTTCTACCTCATATTCATGAGGTCTTATAGGCCAGATGGGTGTGGCATAAATACAATAAATAAATAAATAAATAAACAATTACTCTGTCCATGCTATTGTGAGGTTTATTTGTCAGCATTCACTCCATGCATATTTCTCTTACAATTTCAGCTGCTTTTGATGATGCAGTGGAGGAGCGAGTGATCAATGAAGAATATAAAATATGGAAAAAGAATACTCCGTTCCTATATGATCTTGTAATGACACATGCTTTGGAGTGGCCTAGTTTGACTGCTCAGTGGCTTCCTGATGTAACCAGGTAATTCTCTCAGAACTGCAGCCCAAAACGGCTTGTGAGTAAAACAGAAAACACTGGGATTTAAATGTTGAGTTAGGACACATTGGATTGTGCTGGAACTCTGTTTCTGTGAAGGCATTCTTAGCTCTCACTCTCACAGCTGAAGGTGGAAAGAGTGAGTGGAAAACAGGGTTGCCAGAGAACATCATCATCTCTGTTGAGGTTTTAATTGTGTTTGGCTGAGTGAACTTAAGCCCACCTGCTGTAGGGACAAGGAGCCTGATTAGTGTGAAGTTTGTAACACATTAAGTTGTATCTGATAATAGACCCTCTCATGGACTTCCATTCTCACCATACTGTGCCCTTCCAACACCACCATCTCTCCTGTGCATGTTGGTTAACATCAGCATCATGACTGTGGTAAATAGCTAAGGGGCCTAAACGTTGCCTGCTGCTTTTCTTTTTAATGTATGAATAAACAGGTCAAACTACCGTGTTTCCCTGAAAATAAGACAGGGTACTTAAATTAATTTTTGCTCCAAAAATGTGTTAGGGCTTATTTTCAGGGGATGCTTTATTTTACAGTCATGTCATCTTCTGGTTGCTGCACAATGGTGGAGGGCGGGGTTTCACTTAACTGGGGCTTATTTGGGGGCATAGGATCCTGAAAAATCATACTAGAGCATATTTTCTGGTTAGGTCTTATTTTCACGGAAACAGGGTAATAAGGCAGTAAAATTGAGTTGGACCCGAAAGAAGTGAGAAAATTTTGATTGATTAAATAATAGTGAAGTGTGTGTGGTAGAAACATCTATTATGACTCTAATAGCTCTCTTGTTTTCCTGCTTCTAAGTGTGTAGAATTGAGCAAGGGAAATCAGCAAGTCCCAGTCGTAGTTGTAGAAGGGGTAGCCATGTTCGTCTGTGCAAGCCTTATAGGTAAAAACCAAATTAAAAATAAAAAAAAGACAAAAACGTGGTGGCACAGATAGTATAAAGTTCTTAGTCTTTAAGGTGTCACCACGTTTTTCTTTTTAAAAAACATTTTTAAAAATTTTGTTTTACCTATAAGTCACATCCTTGTTTGTAGCACTGGCCTAAGGAATATTTGCAGTAAGCCTGCTAGGGATGGTGGCCATAGTGAAATATCCCAGGCTATTTTTTCCTTTTGACGTAATAAATCTTTTATGCCATTACAGACCTGAGGGCAAAGACTTCAGTATTCATCGGCTAGTCCTTGGGACTCACACCTCTGATGAACAAAACCACCTCGTGATAGCCAGTGTCCAGTTGCCTAATGACGATGCACAGTTTGATGCTTCACATTATGATAGCGAGAAAGGCGGTAAGAGAACAGGATGGGGAGCAAAAATACTTAAGTGCATCTGCCCCTGTATTATCTCACAGCTAAATGAATGTGCAAGATGTTGTAGAGGGTGCAGTTGGTATTGAGATTTTAAAAAAAGAGTTACGGTAAAATTACTCAGACTATGACCCTTTTATTTTTGCAGTAGGTGCTTGTTTCTGATATTCAACCTACTTTCTCCTGAAAACTCTACAGCTTAATACGGATCTGATATTGACTAACATTTAGTGTTATGATTAACTGGGCCTTTTAAAAAAATTAGTTTATGTAATTTGATCTGTTGATTTGTAACATTTTGATTTATTGTTGCATGGTTTGTGTTGCTTAATAGTTTCAGTGCTTATTTGTGTTTTCTGCTGAACATTATTATGTAAATAGTATGGGAGATATTGGAGGTTACTCAGTAGCAGACTTTGTAATCTCCTTGAGTTTAAAGATATAATTTAGTTATTCAGTGACACATACTGTTACTTAATTTACAGTTTACCTGTGTAGTTGCAGGAATGTTAATGGATTAAATGGTGGAGGAAGGGCATAGCATAATGCATGTCCTGGCTTCCTCTTTGCCTAATGCTGCTGCCTCAAGCACCTTTTGTGGGTGTTGGGATGACAGGAAGGTCAGTGAGAGCAAAGTATATTTTTCTACCACACATGAGTAGCTTGTACAATTCAGACAATTTTTCCAAATAGTAACTGTCATGGGTGTATCTAGCAAATGGGGATAATGATGAGGTACTTTAAAAGTGTAAGAGTAACTAACTGCTTTTAGGGCATGAGAACGATCAGTGTATCTGAGTGTTTTGAAAAATAACTTTCCCAAGCTCTGGAAAAAAAAAGAAAAAAAAAAGAAAAATCTTGTGGTAGAATAGTTATTGGAGTTTTATTGCAATAATGAAGTTTTAGCTGTCCTTAGAGCATATTATGTCATCTGGGCTGATTAGCCAATCTATCTGAAGTTGCACTGCTTAAAGGGAGCTTGGAGATTGCAATGTTTCGTTTTCAGGGTTAAAATTTCTATTGCTTACTTGTTTTATAGTTCCTTATGATTTGCTCTTTCCAGAATTTGGAGGCTTTGGGTCCGTTAGTGGGAAAATTGAAATTGAAATAAAGATTAATCATGAGGGAGAAGTGAACAGAGCACGCTACATGCCCCAGAATCCTTGCATAATTGCCACAAAGACTCCCTCCAGTGACGTCCTTGTGTTTGATTACACCAAGCATCCATCTAAACCAGGTATTTGCAAAGGATATTAGTGGTATTTCATTTTGTTTCACTGATGAAATTATGAGAAGTTGGATATTAAATTGGTATGTAGTCCTAGCAAATCAAAAGGCAAATTTGCCAATCCTGGAGCTGTGCTGGACAAGAAGTCTCACAAGTGGGAGTTCACCAGTCAGAGCTGATACAGAAGCAAAATTTAGTAACAGTTGCCACAAGCTGCATGAATAGAATTATAGCACTCTTCCACACTTACACCATGTGTTCTGGTTTTTTTCTGTGATATAGAAATAGTAAGATGCTTTAAAGGTGTGGATTAAGGCTTGTGGTTTTCAAGATTAGCAAACAGTGTACTAACAGGGCAAGGAAATGGTTAATAGTGGAGGTGTGCAGGCTTGGACTACAACTCTTGCATAGTCATTAAAATAAACTGCATTGGGAAACCATAGAAATTCTAGGAAAGAGGAATTGTGTAGGGTCTTTAAGTGGATTTATACACAGACATGATGGCTAAGTATGGATTTTGAGTGACAGTTGAATTGCATTGTTGAGCTAGACAATCAGGTTTGTAACGCCTAGCTTCCTGCTTAGAGCTGGAACTGACTTTCCTGGTCTGCTCTTGGTCCATCATACTACAATGTATGGAGCAGAACTGGGCTAAAACACCCACTCTCTTTTCTTTGCAGACCCTTCTGGTGAATGTAATCCAGACCTTCGTTTACGTGGGCATCAAAAAGAAGGTTACGGTCTGTCTTGGAACCCAAACCTTAGTGGACATTTGCTTAGTGCTTCTGATGACCATGTATGTATTATGCGTTTAGGTTGCCCAGACCTAATATGCCTATGATTTCTGTCGGGAGAAAGATGCCTTTTACCTGAATCTGTTCTCTCTCTCTCTCTTTCTCCTCTTCAAGACCATTTGTTTGTGGGATATAAGTGCCGTCCCAAAGGAAGGGAAAGTGGTTGATGCCAAAACAATCTTCACAGGCCACACAGCCGTGGTAGAAGATGTTTCCTGGCATTTGCTCCATGAATCTCTTTTTGGATCTGTTGCGGACGATCAGAAACTCATGATGTAAGCAAAGTAATATAGGTTATTTTGTTGTGGGGGTAGTTGCTCTTTTTGGTAGCTATGTATGCAAGCAGTATCTCTGTGTTTGTTTTTACTGATACATCAGAACAGTTTCTCATTCTGGCTCCTTATTTTTCAGTTGGGATACACGGTCAAACAATACTTCCAAGCCAAGCCATTCTGTAGATGCTCACACGGCCGAAGTAAATTGTCTGTCTTTCAATCCTTATAGCGAGTTCATCCTCGCAACAGGATCAGCTGATAAGGTGTTTATTCAGAATTTCTTTTTTTTTTACCTTCATTCATGCTTAGGGTGTTCAGGGGATTCTCTTTGGATTTTTTTATGATTCAGTTCCTTTTGGGTGGCCCTAGTCAATAATGGGTCTGGGACAGTGGTATAAGAAGTTAATATTATTGCTTATTTTCCTCTTCTCTGATTTTTCTGGTCAGACTGTTGCTTTGTGGGATCTCAGAAATCTGAAGCTTAAACTGCACTCCTTTGAGTCGCACAAAGATGAAATATTTCAGGTAAATGTACAAGATGTTATGGGATTCTTTTTTGTTGATTCTTTTTCAAGGAAGGCTTTGAAATATTATCAGGAGTAGCCTTGATGTTTCGACATTCATTTGGTATCTGTTTCATAACACTTAGTCATTGAAGAGAACTTGTGATCAATCTGGTATTTTTTCTGCTTGTGGAAAATGTTTGCTTATGCAGCTTCAGAAACAGATGGAGAAAATAAGACTAGAGAATGATATTTAGCTGAGATACGTGTAACAAAAATAGTAAAAACATTGGTAGCTAATATTAAACAAACTAATTTACAAGGAACAATGGGAAAACCTGCCTGGTCAGGTTTCTGCATCTGTTATGCTGATAAAGAATATACCTGCAAAATTAGTGAGAAATGGTGGTTTAAAAGGACATGGTGGTTTTAATCATTATCTTAGAACTGCAGAGCTGGAAGGGGCCCGATGGATCATTGAGTCCAGCCCCTGTCAAGGAGGGGAAACTAACTCCCAGCCTCCACAGTCAGAGACCTAAACTGGTCTATTCTATGCTCATAGTCATGATTAATTTTTAAAAGGAGAAAATGTATGAGAGAGAATGGATGGCTGAGGTCTATGAAGAGATCCTGTTTGATACATTGAGAGGTTTTAAAAAGATGGCGAACAGTATATGCTGTGGCTAAACATGTCATTCTAATTAATGCAGGTTCAGTGGTCACCACATAATGAAACTATTCTGGCTTCCAGTGGCACTGATCGCAGACTGAATGTCTGGGATTTGAGGTGAGTTCCATATGGGTGTAGTGTTCTCCACATGTTGAATTTCACTGTAAATGCTTTTTGTATGTCTTCAGCGACTAGATTCCCAGTGTAGTATAGTGGACTAGGACTCAGGTGAACAGGATTCAAATTCTTGAAAGCCCTCTTAGGATCCCTATAAGTCAGGTCTGACTTGATGGCACAAAATCATACGTACAACTACTGTTCTTTCTTCCAGCAAAATTGGAGAGGAGCAGTCTCCTGAAGATGCAGAAGATGGACCACCTGAGCTGTTGGTAAGTAGAAACAGATCGATTTTGTCATTGTTTGTCTCTCCCTCACCCCCATCCCCGGCTCTAGGTGGGAAGCTGACTGAATGCTGTGCTGTGTATCCTGTCCTGTTGGCATCATGTTCTTAAACTTGCGTCTTGTTTTCCATGTTAGTTTATTCACGGTGGTCACACTGCCAAGATCTCTGACTTCTCCTGGAATCCCAATGAGCCCTGGGTGATTTGTTCTGTATCAGAAGACAATATAATGCAAGTCTGGCAAATGGTAAGCACTTTTATTGATTATTTCAGGGCAGTGTGTCTCTAAAACTGTCACTGCCCAGTTGGCACAGCAAGAATGAGCAGTAAATATTTGAGAATTGTAGCTTTGTCTGATAAGCGTGTAAAACCTGCTGCATGTTTACCTTTAGTGCTTATTTTAGTGCTGTTTGGTGTTGTACTTACTAGAAATTGATCCTGAAGTGGGATTCCTTTTTTTTTTTTTTAAATCGTCATGTTAACGCTTCCAATTCCCCTAATTTTCCCCTTCCTTTATAGGCAGAGAACATATACAATGATGAAGATCCTGAAGGAAATGTGGATCCTGAAGGTCAGGGGTCATAGAAACCTGGCCCTGTTCTTTTCTTGGTTCTCCCTCCCCCCCAGTCCTTCTGTCCTCTCCCTGTCTTGCTCTCCCAACTTTCCTAAGATTATCAACTCGCAGCAATTTTGGTGCAACAGATACACATGCCATGCATTCAAGAGTCCCCCTGTAGATACCATCATTCACCCTTCCTGCTTCTTACAGAGAAAGTGAACTATTGCTGTTGAACATTGAGGGCACAGTCTGACATAAACCACCATCCATTCTCACAGAGTAGCTTGCTTCCTGACTGACAGTTTTCCTTTTAGACTATTGGTTGGTTGAGTTGGTGTATGACACAATTTGTTCCCTCTGCTACAAAATTAGTATTCTGCTTTTTACATTTTTAATACAACTTACACCTGAACTCTTGCAGTACAAACCTTTATAAGACCTCAATGTTAGAGGTGGAATTCAAGAGCACAGAGTGTTCCTTTTTATTTTGTTAATATTATTAATATTTTTGGTCACTCTGATTAAAAGAGTGAGCAGGGCTTTACCTCTTTGGTCTTGCAGTTCCACATGCAGAAAAATCCAGTGCGAGGTCATCATCTGCTATTTTCACCCCTTTCCAGCTGCTGTCAATGGTTAGAGTGATTCTGTCTGTCCTGATAATTCTTGCATTTATTCTGCAACAATGAATCTTCCATCCTTTTCCAAAGGGGCAGCTCAGGATGTGGATAGAAGTCTGGTGAGAGCCTATACTTGCACATCACTTAGTTCTTGTGTGTTTCTTGAACTGTGTTATCCTATTTTTTATTTCTGTGAGTTGTGTTTTGTGTTTTAACTTGGGGGACCACCAAGTTGTAAAGATTATTTGTTTCAGTTGAATGATAGACCACAGATGACATGTCCGGTAACCTGGAATCATACTGGCAGTTGTTAATACATAAGGAGTAATATGTGTGGAAGACAGACTTTTTTCTCTTTATCAATACATTTCCTGTGCGGGTGAACTGTTCCACCAGCAGCCCATTTATCTTTTCATGGAGCTGTGCAAGTACTTTGGGTAAAATAAATCTGGTTTTCTATGTATGATGTGATTGTCCTTTTTTTTCTTAAAGAAAATTATTCTCTTCTGGAATCAAATTAAAGGTTTGTGTGCTTTGATCTCAAAATGCCCACCACTTTACAGTGGGGTCCCTACTTAAGAACAATCCAACTTAAGAACAGCTCCATTTGCTAAATTTTGCTTCTACTTGAGAACAGAAATCCAAGATAAGAACAGGAAAAAAAAACCTTTCCTGCTCTTTTTTAAACTTTAGGTCATCTTAGGTTAAAAAAAATTCTCCCCCTAGTGGTAGAGTACGTATTAACCAGCTTTGCATTAGTTCCTATGGAAACTAATGCTTCAATGTACGAACGCACCTCTACATAACAAAAAAACAGCCAGAACGGATTAATTGGTTTTCAGTCCATTCCTATGGGAAATTTTGCTTCAACTTAAGAACGTTTCAACTTAAGAACACCATTCCAAAACGGATTAAGTTCTTAAGTAGAGCTTCCACTGTAGTTTCTATGGACGGAAAAGAGCAGATACGGATTAAATGGTTTTCAATACATTCCTATGGGAAATGCAGATTCAACATAAGAACTTTTCAACTTGAGAACCACCTTCCAATATGGATTAAGTTCTTAAGTAGAGACCCCACTGTACAACTGTGCTGCTGAAGAGACAGGAGGATACCTCATGATAGCGGGCTCTTGAACTATATAGAGGGTGGTTGGCCACTGGCAGTAAAGATGGGAAAACCCAAAAGCTTGAGCAGATAAAGCCACAAAAGGTCATTGAAGTCCAGGGATGTCTATTTGTGAGAGTTACTTTGAATTCTGTTCTACTGTAACAACACCAGCGTGAGACAGAGAAAAAAATATTAAGAGGTGCTTCCTTTGTTGTCTGTAATTGGTGTGGAAAAGTCGGAGTGGATTGCCATCCATTTGGATTTTTGGATGGCTTTGCTTTGATCGGATTAGGGTGGATTCCCATGAACTGTTTTTGGGTGTGTTTCAAGGTGGATTTATTTATTTAATTATTTATTTGGGTAAGCAAAGCAATTTGAAATAGGCCCCCCCCTGCTTAATTGTCCTCAACAACCTCAGGGTCTTCGTCAGCAGCATTTTAACCACAAATGTTTGTCTTTGATAAGTGCCCCATATCCATATCTAGAAGACAACTCTGTAAGTGTGTGACCTTTCAGTGGCAGAAAGCCTTTTAACTGCAGAACAGTCATCCATGCAACTATGCTGATGCTGTAAATAGGGATGGCTATACTTGTCCATAGACCTCATAAGTGGGTTCTGAGTTACTTTAAACCTTATGATGTTGCTATATTTCAATTATTACAAAAAAAAGGAATTCTAGGTGAAAGCGGAGTGTCCAAGGCTCTCTCTGTGTAAAAACATTTAATCTGAATTACTTCCTGTTTTCTGTCCATAACAGGGCGAAATTACAAAAAGATTCTTTTAAGAACCGAATGCTGCTGTCAGGCAGTTGTTATACAGAGGAGTAACGTTAAAGCAGTATTGACAATTAGGCTGCTGTGGTTGCTGTACAAAATGTTTTTATGGAACTGAGTGTAACACATCTGGTTACTTCAGTAGTCGGATAGTAGGAGTTCTGTCATACCCACTAAGGAGGATGCTTGTGCAAGCAAGCAGAGAGAGGTCCGCCGCGCTTGCAAGTCCGTGACTCAGCTTTGTTCTTGTTTAGCTTCTGACTGGCAGAGTTGTCCGTAGATTTCCAGGCAGTTCCTGCAAGGATTGAAACTAGGTTACTGGTTGTTCAAGGAAATGTTTTGCAGACATTTTTAAGAACTGCGTTTGGAAGAAACAACGAATGGCAATTACTTCAGCAGTTACTAAGAAATCCTTTCAGAATATCTGCTCACTTATCATCTGTTATTTGTTAATATTCCTCTTAGAAAGTTTTTAAAAAAACATTTATTAATGCTGCCAAGGCTTAATTACAGTTATATACTAATTACACTGAAGAAACCTTTCTGGTACCAGACTATTTCTTGGTTGCTCTCCTGCTCGTCTAATTAACCTACACACAAATAGTTAAAGATTGGATGTTACAGCATGCTAGGTATTTACCATAATATTTTTAAAATGTGTTTCTGCCCCCCTGATAAAATTTTACGTGGGTATTGATCAAGAAATTAAAGCCTACTTATAAATGGATAGCTCCTGGTGTAAGCTGGCTCTCAGCTCTTCCAATTCTTGGTTTTTTCGCTGCTGAAGTTGGACTTCATTCTTCAGTTCCCTCAGCCGTTCTTCCACGTCCTCTATTTGTTCCTGTAGAAGAAGAAGAAGAAACGCAGCCTTGTAAACAGTTCTATGTGTCCATGTAGGTTGTGTGCATGGCTTTTTGCACCGGTTGACCAAAGTCCATTAATCATCCCTCGTGCAAAAAATGCATTTCAACTAATTGCTGCCTTTACAAGACTGGTCTACTCCCAATTGTGACATTTTATTTGAAAGTATGGTTTTGTGGAGCCGAAGGAGCCGTGAACCCTCTAGTGCACCTCCTTCCAGTGACCATGCCCTGTAAAGAAGTCTCTGTGCAAGTACAGAAGCCAACCCCACAAAGAATAAATATTTCCACGCTTTTTGTGTGTGGCTGAAATGTGAGGCTGTGGAGATGGTGGTTAAAGTGTAATCTATACTTACAGCCAGACTGGTGGTACTTTAGCTGTGTGACAGAAAACCACAGAGCAGCTCCAGGCAGCTTCCCTGAATGGCTCCAGACCTCAGCTTGGAAATTCAACATGCTCTGTTTTACTTCTTAATTTGTGGATCTTTGCTGAGTAAGAGATCATGCTGTGACTTGAAAGGCTTGCATTTTAAGCCACTTAGTATCTCTCTGCATTGTCTGCAGATAAAGCTGTGCTTGATTTATGTTTACTTCTTAAAAGCAAGGTAGAGAGGCTTGGTCTTCAATCACTGATGTCTAGTAACAAGCTGTGTGTCGCAAGTTGGGGGGGCAGGTGAGACCCAGTGGGAATTGATGTAAGTCCAGAGGTAGTTCCATAATGTTTCAGGTGATGGAGAACCCTGGTTTGGCACTGAAAAGAGGTGCTGAAACAGCCCTGGCACATATGACACACTGCTGACTTTCCTGATGTTGATGCAAGGTCCAGAATTGTCTTTGGAGATCCCCTTTGGCTAAATGTAACAGGCCAGCACAGAAATGTACCGTATGTTGTCTGTCTCACTGCAGAAATAGGCATCTATTTGTGTAGAGGGTCTAATCACATGGTCTAAAGTAAAGAGGCAAACAGAAAACTAAGTGAACACTATTTTTATGCTATGCATGAAGAGATGGAAAATGTAGGCGTTAGGAACAGCCAGCTTTATTTGACTGTAAATAAAAAAGACCCATTGGAGGAGGAGGTAGTGGTAATTTTCAGTGGATGTGCATTGTTAAACTCAATTCATTGAATCAGAAGTATGGATCGATACCAGAGACACTATAAAGTAGGAATGCAAAAAAGAAATTTTCTTGCATCGAAAGAGCATGGATAGATGACTGATGAGCTCTTGAAATTAAGGACAGACATGAAGCAAAAGTAAAAGATGGCCTTTCTTAGTGGCCTGCACATGGAATCAAAGAAAGGGTATTGTAATCAATAAAGGAAGTAGAAGAGAACAACTTAATGCAAATAAATAAAAAGAAGAGCGAGATCTTTCTTATAAACCTAAGGAGAGGAAGCTTAAACCTAGATGGGCAATGAAAGAACCAACGTGCGAGCATATTGATCATGATGAAATAAAGAATCACATAGGGGAAAAAATAGACTGAAGAATTATACAGAAGCATTAAGAATGGCAAATTATTTCCAAGAGGAATCTTGTGATGAACCTCCTATTTTACGGGGGGGAAATTGCAGGAAGCAGTCAGAAGAAATAGATAGGATACCAATAGAAGCATAGGTACAGAAAGAGAAGTTATGAAAGTCCCCAAATAACAGGCCAAAAATACAGAAGGCAAAACAAGTGCCTGTGGAGTGGCACGTTCAATAGATGTATTCCAGTCCCCCAACAAGAAGTGCAGCAACGATGGGACCAGTGCATTCATTTCCCTCCTTTTGCAAGCAAAGTGGTACTCAAGGTGCTGCAATGAAGTCTTTTGTCTCACATGGAGCAAGATATACAGTACAATGTTCAGAATGGATTCAGAAAAGGAAGTGCCCTAGAGAACGTGTTCGAAAGCTGTTTTGGCTGCTGGAATTTCGGAAGAAAATTATCTATGCTTTTCAGATTACAGCAACAGTTTCGACTGTGTGTGTCCTGAAAGGCTACTATGGATTGTTCTTTAGAAAACAAAAAGGTATACTTCAACATCTGTGTCCCAAAGCATAATTTATACTCTGGACAAAAAGATACAATTGAAAAAGTATATAGAGAAACAGAATGAAAGCCCAGAGGCAAAGGTGTCGTGCAGCCATGTATTTAAAGCACACTGTTATAAAGGATAGGTGCATTTGAAGTGTGGGCTGACTGCAGAAGGCTAACAATGTCTTGGATCAAGAGGGGTTCACACTGCAGAAGATCTGCAAATAAAGATCAAGAAATCATAAAATACAGAAAGTTGTAATGCTTAAGTCACATGGATGAGGCAAAAATAGATTGCTAGAGCTGATCAATCAAAGTAAAATAAATGGGACTTAGAAGGAGAAGTCTACGTTTAGAAGCTTTCCCTTTGGGGCAGAGGAGGATGAAGGGTGGGTCTTTGTGTATTTCCCACAGCGACTGACAAGAGATGTCTGGAGAGTTCACAAGAATGTCTGGAAAGCGATTGATATTCTCCTCTTATGAATTACTGATGTTCAAAGATTGCACTGTCTTTGAAGTGCCATTTAGCTGTCATGATTTGGACAACCGCGGATTCATTCGCACTTGGCATTTTTAAAGTCCAGCAAAAAGTGTCCGGTATCTCGCTTTGCACTAGTAAATTGCTTCTTGAACATCTCGCATGCTTCACAAACAATATGAGGAAGTGAATTGATAGCATATTACAGCAATTCGTAAGAAATGCCTGGCCAGTAAATGATACATTTTCAGTATAATGCAACAAATTAGAACACTTAAAAAAAAACACTCTTTAAAGCCATGTACACAAACATACTATTGAGTTATTTTAATGCAATTGAATTAGCAGAGTTAATGTTTCTATACTGTATAGTAACTGATTTTCTTGTATACAAAGCATGGCCAGTACCCCCCCTCCAGTATACTAATGAGACAATGTTTTCAAAAGTTTGACTAAAAGGTAGACCTCACCAACAAACCTGCCCCCCCCCAAACCCCTACTTCATGGAAGCTAAATGTCTCTCTTGCCCAAGGCACATGTGCAGTTGGGGCCTGAGCACTAAGCATGCAGCCACACCTTTAAAACCACTTCCCCCTTCTGATACTACGCTTTCCAGAAGGCAAACAAGCCTCTCAAAAATCTAAATTCTGCTAACATTAATCTATCCAAGTAAAACACCTCTTCTAATCTACTATCCAAATAAATTCCTGCTCCAATAACTCTCAAACCATTTATTTTCTCTTTCGAGCCAAACATCTACTCTTTCTCATGCCATTCATTTCACTCCATTACCTTTTTACAAGCCAATTCACCCAGGGCTGGCCAAGGCATTCTGCTGCCTGCCTTTTGGCCACCTCAAAAAGGGCTTGCATTTGGAAATACCTAAGCTGCATCAAACCTACATGGTTCCTCTGCTTAGTGCCATTTTAACTCAAAGCTTCTGGAGCCTGTGGTGGCAATGCATTGGGAAGACGAACACTGTCATTCCCATCTTTCTCTAGAAAGGACGAGCAGGCGAGACTGCAAGACTTACTTTGTACTGAAGAATGTCTTCGTCCCGCTTTTGCTGAATGAGGAGAATCTGTTCCTCCAGGTTTCGGTTCTGCAGCTGCAGCTTGCTGACTTCTCCCTGCAAGGGCCTCAGTGTTTCCTTGAGTCTATGGATCTCGCCTTGAGTCTTTTGCAAAGCCTTAGTGCTGGCTTCTCTCCGCTCCAAGAGACGCATCAGCTTAGGCTCGTAATGTTCTTCTAGGTCTTGACGACTCTCTAAGACAAAGCTTTCAAACTGCATGGAAAGCCGCCGGCTCTCCTGCAGGTAGCAGCTGTCCCTTCGGCGCCGAGGGGCCTTCAGCCGCTGCCGGAACTGTTCCTTCTCCTTCTCGCAAGTCTCTCTCAGCTGAGACAGCTCCTCCGACAGTTCCCGGACCCTGCTTTCCAGTTCTTCACAGTAGATACCAGACTGGGCCACGTCATGCCGTTGGGTCTCCAACTGGTACTGGCAGGCCACGCATTCCCGCGTCACCCGGAAGAGCTTTCGTTTCACTTGCCAAATCTCATCCTGCAAAGTCACCTTTTCAAGCTCGACTTTGGCGTGCAGCCTGTAGGCTTCCAGGACCTCTTCATGGGCTTGCTTGATTTCCTCCAGAGCTGGTTCTCGTAACAGTGCAAGTTCCTGGATAAGCCGCTCCCTCTCCCTCTCCAGCTCTTCCACGGCATTGATGCACTCCTGGAAGCGCTCCCCAATTTCCTCAATGCTCATGTGTTGGGGTTCTTCCAGGTCCAGTTCCTGCTCCACCATGACTTCCTGCATCTCCACAGGGACATCTTCATTGCTTCCCACATCCTGCAAGAACAGTTCAGGGATGGGATCCATGGACAACATTTCCGAGGCCTCTTCTTCATTGAATCCTGTTTCTCTGTCCCCAGCAGTTAGCTCTAAGGAAGTGTCTCTGTTGTCCTGTTCCAGAGGGGGCTTGAAGTCTGCCATTGCTTCCCTAGAAAGAACAGGAAAAAGATAAAGCGGGCCCTAATACAGTAGTTCTGCTAACATAGTAGGTTTCGCTGGAGCAGGTGGGTCATCTCTGCGCTGAGCAAGGGCTGCAGTTTAGCGGTACAAGTATGGACGGCAAGCAGGGATGGCTGCCGATGTCTAAGGCATGATATACAGGGAGGTTTTGTTCACTTAAGAAGTCGAAATCACATGGCTTTTCTACAGAAACCAGAATCCCAAATATATCTCTCCTCCCCCCAGTGATAAATACAATTTGTTTTGAGTTTCAGAGTTCTAAACATTGATAAATCCGTCTTCCAAAAATGGATCTTGCATCGTTCCTAGGAGGCAGATGGCTGAGTGCCACCGAGCTGAGGCATGTGGTGCACAAAACAAAGAAGCAACAAGAAGGAACACATTTTGCTATGCAGAATTTCTGCACAAACACTGGCACAGCCTGTTTCACTCTGAATCCCCTTGGGTCCTTCTCTCTCTGATGGAGAATGCCTTCCCGTCCAAACTTGAACCACTCGTTCTATTATTTGGCCTGGTCTACTCAAAAGTCATTTCGGGCTGTGTATGATTAGCCTGATTGAAGCATAAGAACTGTGATTATCTTAGGAAGATGGTGTTCCCAGTGGGGAAGGGAGACAGAGAAAGAACATAGGTAAAAGTTACAATGCCCCTCCTGAAGACAGGGAAAAAGGTATAACTATTTATTTACTTTATTTATATCCTGCTTTTTTACCATAAAGGAACTCATGGTGGTGCATAACAGTTAAAAAAAAACCCCAAGTTCCTTTTTGCATATACTCGAGGTGGTGCATAACAGTTAAAAAAACCCCAAGTTCCTTTTTGCATATAAGCTGCAGATGCACCAACCAGTTAAGTTGGCTTAAAGCTGACGCTTCTCTGCAAAATCTATTTTTCTTCTGTAACCCATCTGCCACCTGTAAATCAAGGACCAGGTTATCCCCAAGTTTTGCTTTTCACCCTGAAGCCCTTGTAAAGCAGCCCTTTCATGCCTCAAACTTTAAAATGCAGTTGCAACTCCCAAATTGTGCACGTACCATTGCAAGCCGTATGGACTTTTTGAAGCTTTTGCAAGGAAGAGAGGTTGGACTCTCAACTCTTTGGGGAGACATTTCCCCTTCTGCTGTGTGGAGAGAAGAGAAGAATATGGCCTGCGAGTAAAACAGCTAGTTTTGCAACCCAGGGCCTTTCCTAGCAAGGCTTATATTGTGCAACCATCGCCTGGCCTCGGCCACAGGATTGTGCAGGTTGGGGAGATGGCTTGTCTTCGGCTTGCAACCCTGTTTCCTGAGGAAGGAAGTAATTCATTCTTTCTACACAGCAGCGCTTGCAGGGGAAGGTGATGCCCTTGCAAAGACACGACAAAATGGGGTTTTTCCCCCTCTCTCGCAAAGGAGGCAAAAACTGTGTCACACCAGCAAACGCAGGTCCAGTTAGCAGCTGTGGCCAAGCCTAGCTCTACAAGTGATGGAAGTACAATCGAATGAAAACCCAAAACAAAATAAAAATAAATGGTTGCGGGGTTTTTTTGTGACACCCCTGACTTGTCGCTTGAATCTTGTCTGCCTAGGAATGCAGCATGTAGAAGATGCCACACACACAGAAAAAGTGGTGGCTGTCAGAGCAAGCGAGATGCTTGGTTTGAGGCGTAAGAAACAAGTTCCTGGTTTTGCCCTCAGGCGTGGGAGGGTGGTTTCTTCATGAGTCTGCCATTTTGAGGCTGAATCTCCCACATGTTTTCCATCAGACGCACAGTTCCAAGCTGTGGAGGAGGAAGAGGAATTGGAGAAGGAGGGTTTCTCTCTAAAAGCCAGCGGTCGCCCTGCTGCTGGAGGCGTCACAAGGACCTTCCAGCGGTTGGAGTCTAAAAGAGATGGTGATCCATGGGGACATTCAGATTGTGTGTGTGTGGGTGTGTCTGATCATCTGGGGCGTGGATCCCGAAGTACATTCACCCTAAATCTTAAGAGAGAATCCTTGCTCTCTGTCCCATCATCCTCAGAGGCCTGCCTGGAGAGACATGAGACAGGGCTTTCTTGGTGGCTGCTCTTAGGAACTGCAGAATGTCCTTCAGACGGTGGTTCTCCCCTCCCCCCCCCGCTACCCCCTCCGGTGGGAGGCAAAAAGACCTTTTGATGGGGGATGTTGTCCTTACTGTTGTTTTCCTCTGAATTGATTCAGTGTCTGTTTTAATGTGTCAAATTGATTTATATTGATGCTAAAGAGGTCAAATACAGTATGTAAGGGAATGTCTTGGGGCAGGAATCTGCAAAAATACCAGCCTGTTAGGAACGAGCGGTCCAGAGGGGGCCCAGCTGAACTTTTGTCTACAGAGAAAGAGAGAAGGTAAACAGAACTGTAAATTGGTACCTAGAGATCTTTCTTAGGCTCCATCTCGCTTTGCTTGAAAACCAACCATCTTTCTTATAAATGGACCATTTTTCCATTCTATTTCAGGCCCTCAAATTTTAGAACATTTTCTATGTGAAAAATATTTTTTGGGGGGGGACTCAAAACCTCACCCTGTTTGTAAACTTGTAGCGACCCTATAAAAGTGTTCTCCGAGCCAGAATTTTATATAAACCATTGTTTTTGTGATGATTTGAATGTTCCATATATTTTTTTTGGGGGGGGGAGAGATTAATTCTGGGATGGGGCTTGTGGTCTTCCTACAAAATGCAAACGCCAACAGCGGGTAACCCATTTATTGTGTCACTAAAATATTGAAAATAGGTAAGCTTTCACAACAATCATGACTCTTTTTCAAGCTGGGCGTTTGGGCTCCTAGCCAGAAGCCGTAGTGCCCTGTTGGATTAAAAATATTGATTTTTTTAAAAAAATACATTAGATATACAATAAATACCTACCCCTATTGTTGGATTAAGTACTGTACGGAGGGTCAGTTAGAGGGGAAATTATGACATGCTTTTAAAGGGCTGGCTGCTTAAAAGAAAGCCAATGGCTTTTCCAAGGGGAAAAGTGCTGACACTGCCTGAGATGTATGGAAAGGAACAGGGGCTCTGCCAGGTGGCTTGGAGGTGATGTATGTATGCGTGTGCCTGCAGAATGATAAGATTAAAATATCACAGATGTGGGGAGGGGAAGAAGTCTTCCGAAAGGGCTCTCCTTGTCCCCACAAATATTGTAGAGTCATGCCAGAGCCCAGGAAAGAGCCTGGGAAATGCAGGGTGTGCGTGTGTCTATCCGTCTCGCCTTTTGAGGGCGGGCGGGGAGCAGGGAAATTGGCAAGAAGACACCCCCCCCCCTCTGTCTGGGGCAAGGCTGCCTGCCTATAAGCGGGAGGGACGCTGTAGTCCAACACGTAATGTCCCCACGCTCTGCAGGAGAGAAAGAGGAAAACCCCACCCAAGTTGTGATGATGAGCGAGGCTTCGAAAGGCGATCCTGTGTCCAGATCCTCCGCGGGTCAGCAAGCGGACGCAGCGCCCCGCCGGCCCCACCTGCCGGGTAGCCGGCCCTCCAGGGGAAATCCGCAGGATTTGCGCCCAGTACCCCCCCCCCCCCGTGTTGCCAAGCCCCGGGGACCGGCGGCAGGCTGAGCAGGGCTGCGGGGGACGTGCTGCCGGGGATCGGGACCGACCGCGAGAGACAGAGA